CGCGGCCCTTCCCCCCACGCCGCCATGAGCCAGTTCAGCTTCGGCTCGGGCGCCGCGGGCGGCGGCGGCAGCTTCACGTTCGGCACGCCCAAGACGGCGGCCGCCACCACGGCCAGCGCCGCCTTCTCCTTCTCCACGCCCGCCACCTCCGGGGGCTTCAGCTTCGGGACGCCCGCGGCCGCCAGCAGCCAGCCCACCGCGCTGTTCTCGCTCGGCGCGCCCGCCACGGCCGCCCCCGCCGCCACGGCCGCCCCCGCCGCCTTCAGCTTCGGCGCGCAGCCCGCCGCCACGGCCGCCCCCGCCGCCTTCTCGCTCGGGTGAGTCCCAGCCGAGGCTGCCGGAGCCGCGGAGGAAGGAAGAAGTTTGTTGTCCTGTGTATTGTGACTGTTCTATTAGGGCTCGATGGCTCCCGTGTTGCAGCCAGAGCTTGGGGTGCTCAGCGCCTTTCTCTGCTCAAGCAGGACCGTTCTGTTGTGTGAAGAGGCTCTGAGCTTTGGAATGGGAATTTATAGAACTACTTCTCCTTTCTGAACTAGAATAAAAGTGTGGTGAAACCCGCCAGGGCAATCGTGGCTGTGCCCAGGCGGGTGCTGTTCAGGTGATGCTGGTAGAAGGGGAATGGAGGTCAGTGGGAAGCAGCATCTCCCTGGTGGCAGTGGGAAGGGCTGTTGTGTGGGGTTGGTTTTGTGTCACTGGCCTTGGCTGGGGGCGCCTGGGGAGACAGAACACTCAGTGCCAAAGCTGGGCTGCAGCTGGTGTGAGGTGTGAACCCGCCGTGCATGTCTCTGGAGCTCGACTTTGTGCTCTGCTGCCAGCAAATGCAGCCYGAGGAAGCTGTTCCCTGGCGCTGAGCTGTCTCACGCAGCCCTGTGTCCTTCCCAGGGGCAGCGCGCCCAAGCTGAGCTTGGGGGGCAGCACCACAACGGTGGTCAGCGGCGTCTCGGGAGGCTTCGGGTTCGTCACTGCCATGGCCAGCTTGCCCTCGACTCAGGCAACGACCCCGTCCGGCTTCGTGTTCGGCGCTGCCGCCACCACCACGGCC